CCCCGCTTCCCTCCCGCCCGTGCCCGCCCAGCCCCGGCGCTGCGCTGCGCTGGAGGGAGCGGGGAGGGCCGCGTTGTGGCTGTGAAATGGTGAGCGGATAGCCGGCGCAACGAGGGGTATCAGCACAGTGCTGTTTCCCTCTCGTGCTATCACGACAGCCCCCGATAAAGAGCCTGTCCCCCTTCTTTCTTACAGCCTTAAGATGCTGAACCCGGAATTGCACAGCCCCAGCTCACTCAGCCCGTAGGGAGGTGTTCCATCCCTGGGACCATTTTTTGTGCCCCTCCTCTGCGTGATTCTTCATGTGGGATGGAGAGCTGTCACAGCTTGCATCCTGGAACGGGCCCACCTGCAAAGCTTAGGGTGCAAAAGCCACTGCTGTGTGCAGGGCTGAGGGGTTGCTCCGTGTGCTGGTAGCTCCAGCCTTAACATCACTGAGAAAGTTGTCCTGAAATGGTGTCTGCAAAGCACAAAACTGTGGGTCTCCAGCTGCAGAGGGATGAATGCTGTCTGCGGGTTGTCTCAGCATTTTGTTCTGCCCGCTGGTGTTCGTTCACTCAGAGCCTCAGAGTCATAGAATTAAGGTTGGGAAGACGCTGTAAGATCACCCAGACCAACCATCCACCTACCACAGGTACTGCCCACTGCCCACGTCCCTCAGTGCCCCATCTGCACAGTGCATGAACACCTCCAAGGAATGTGACCCCATCACCTCCCTGGGCAGCTGTGCCACTGCAGCACCACCCTTTCAGAGAAGAAATGTTTCCTAATATCCAACCTAAACCTCCCCTGGTGCAGTTGAAAGCCATCGCCTCTCATCCTATTGAAGCAGAAGCTGCATTCTGCAGTGCTCCAGGAAGGTTCAGAGTGTGGGGATCTACCCACTGCCCACAAAGAGGTTGTAACCTGCTCTAAGTTCCATCCAAAGCGTGTCCTCCAAATCTTTTCCTGCCTTTGAAAAAAAAGAGATGAGAAGTTCATCATTTGGTTTTGTGACTCGTTCCAAACGTTAATCCTCTCATTGGTAAAAATCAGGCTTTCAGTGACTTGACTTTACCTGCTACTGCTCCTTGTTAAGCTTTTCTCTGCTAGAGTGAGAAGCCCATTAGTACCCAGCCCTGAAGATATATTTATATCTCATAATCAACTCAGTATTTTCCATCCCTTCCATTGTTTTATGGCTTTCAAACTTCATCTTCACCTGCTCCTTTTCTGTCCAGCCATTTCCATTAACTACCGTACAGGGAACCTGGTCAAACCATTTCACATCCACCGCTTCCTCCTCTCTCCACATTAATTCTTCTCCCTTCCTTCCTTGGCTAAATAAGCTCATGGCACAGAACAGCCCTTCATGGGCACAAGTGAAAAATAATTGCATTAAAAATAGCCATCACGGTGACTTTGCATGGGGAATCATTAGCTGGTTAGTGTTCATACAACGCTTTAAAGACCAGTGTTTTCATGTGTACGAATGCAGATATAATAAATGCACTTAAGGTCTTTTGATGGTGATTTCTCATCTCCTGCTGCACTGCTATGTAATACTAAAGGCAGTTACAAATCAGTGCAAAATCAAACACCTATAACTCAGGACTTCAAGACATTGCTCATTTCACAGTTTCTTCACGCCCTTTCAGGCTAGTTACATGAATCAAGATTAATGACTTTTAATGATTTTCAATTTATGGATTTTTTTTTTTTTTGCTTATTTGTCCAACACAGACTCCCGCATGGCAAATTTACACCTACTGACAACACACTTCTCCTTTTTCTTCTGATCTGTAAATCGTTCCAAGTAGCTTGCAGCTCTCCTGCATTTCACAGACCGTGGGACAGAAATGGCTGAGAGCCATTTGTTGGCTTTGGGAGATGCTGGGTCAGTAGGAGCTGGTAAGCCTCTGACCCCTTCCACAGAATTCTCTGTCCCAGTTAGGGAAGCACAGTTCATGCAAAAATCACTTGCTTGCTGTGTTGTGTAGAATCTCTGAATAAACCACCAGTCTCCTCCTTCCCTATTTCACCTCCAGTGGGAGTTGGTGTTATGAGAACATTACCAGCATTGATCTCAGCCTCAAAGTCATATTTCGGGACTTAAAAGTGTTACTTTGCTGAGAAGGAAAAAATATGACTGGTTCATTTGAAGGTTAAATGAATATGCCTGGATACTACTCTAAGCTTCAAATTCTTTCCAAATCCCTTAGTCCAGGCTTAATTTTTCATCTCCTCCCTTCCTTTTATCCTTAGTCTTTCAAGGACACGCTCTGCATGCCTAAACATCACTAGATGATAATATAAGAAAAGCCATTCTTGAAATTACTCATGAAGAGTTCCTTCCCAAAATCACTCTGTGCAATGGATGTTCGGTGGTACCCTCTGTCTTTTCAAAAGCTTACAACGAATTGCAGTGTTGTATCTGAATTCCTACTATGCTGACAATTTTTCTTTTAAGAAAAATGAAGCAGATTGGGGTTTTTTTTGCAATTAGGCTTTTTTCAAGTTATGGTTAAAGGAGTGCAGAGAAGCCCAGCTGAGTAAGACGTATGAACTACCATTTATTACCAAGAAAAAAGACACTAAAATGATGAAGGGCGCATGGGGACTTATTTGTTTCATCTTTTCACGTTAACAGGCCCATCAAAGTTGCTAGCTGCAGAAATACGCTGAAATGATTTTGCAGAGAGATTTGTATTTTTACCACTTTGAGACTAAAATCTGAGGGCTGATCCAGAAAAAGAACTTTAAAAGCAGCAATTGAATGTGAAAGTTGTTGCTGTGCAGCTTGAACATCTTCCTTTTCTGTACAAATATAAATATTTCTCTAAAGAAAAAAAAAAAAAGAGATACCATTAACGAACACAGAATTCAACCATAATTAAAAGCAGTGTTTAACTCCAGGCCATATGTTTGCAAAAATAACCTCTCAAGTCAGAGAACAACGTAGATGTCTCCTGACCATCTTGCTGATTCTGCAGACAGACAGTTCTGGTGTCTTTTTTGCTGCTCACAGCTTTCCCAGACAGCTTCAAATAGAAAGGAACAAGGTTCTGGGTATATTTCACAGCTGTCTTTCAAATCCCACAGGATGGTGCTGGAACTGTAAAGACTCTTGAAAGAAAGAGTATCCTCACACAAGCAGTCTGAAGAAGCAGACATCTCCTTATCTGCCTTTTTTTGGGGACCGTGTAGGTTTTATTTTTTCCTCCACAAGAGGAGAACCATCACTGCCTACTTTTCAGATCCTTGCTTATGTTGAAAGATGCTCTAAAGACCAAACAATGACCAAACTTAGTATGTCCTCACACTGGACACAGCCTGATGGATTTAAGGAAAGATGAGAGGCAAGAGGGGCAGCAAATATGCTTAGAGCTGAAGTGATCTGTCTAAAGCAGATCAACAACAGGCTTAGGGGATTACTGCCCAGCTCTCCTGTTTCCCAACGTAGTGAGGAATGTTTAAAGGAAAATGGCTCTTTCAAATGAAAAAGTAATGGCAAGTTAATTGTTCCAAGTTAAGCGTTTTCATTCCAATATTCCATTGGGTTTTCTAAAAGGATTTGTCAATTCAGCTTGGACTTCAACTCAACGTATATCTTTAAAAAGTCACACGAAATATAACTTCTCTCTATGTCATTGCAATAGAATTACTTTGCAAGTTATGGGCCCTGTGCTTCTCTCCAACAAGTCTTGAAGCTGTGCTTGTGTAAAACCAGCAAAAAAAGGGGGAGAAGGTGGACCTGTGGATAGGGAACAAAGTCTATAATGTTTACAGGTCCTCTAACTGTCACTGGAGCACATCCAGCTCTTTCTCACTCTGCCTCACACCCACAAAGGATGAAGAATGGACTAGCCTCTGGTACTGACATCAAGGTCAAAAAGGACTCACTGACAATATGAAACCATTTAGTGTAAATATGCTTCAAGCTGGCAGCTTGGTTTTAAGAGCTCTTCCCCTCTGTTTGAAAGCTGGGGAGCTTCCAGCTTGGAACAAAATTTGTGGGCCGGTTCCAAAATATTTCAGAGCATCACCAAATATTAAAAGGTTTTGATGTGGCCGTGAGCAAGGCAGTTTTTTTTTTTTTTTTTAATGCAAGTTAATTTCATTGAAGGGAAGCAGAACAAGAAATAATCAACCCTTTGTGAAAATAAGACACGAAGATGGTATTAGGGATGGAGGAGAAAGCTGCAGGAACAATAACCAAATGAAAGTAAAAAAGCAAGGAAGAGAAGTGGAAGTGTGTGGGAAATAAAAAAACTGAAAGAAACAGGAATTTTGAATAAAGACAAGGTCAAAAACTGAAATGCATCTGTGCAAACATCAAAATACTGACAATAGAAAAGAATGCCTTCCTGGTCCCAAACTTAGCTGTGCTTTCTTCTCCTGGAAGGCAACCAGCTTACATGTTAGTGCACAACAGGGCAGAAAATGCACTACGAGGCTGAGCATGCTTATCCTGTTGTTAACTCCTGAAGAAGCAGCTTGTGCACATCTTTTAAGCATGCATCCGTTGAGCACAGACAACAGTGCAGCTTGAAACCTTCTCTGTGCTCCAAAGCAATTTGTATGAATGTGCATTCTGTGATCCACTTGGGACACTAAGAGACAGAGGGATAGTTGGCATTTGCTCCCAAGATGTATAAAAATGCAAGTCTTCAGCTCTAGCCAATTATTATAAGTAGAGCTAGCAAGAAGAGCTTCCACGGTACTCATTGCTTTTGTTTCCAAATAACAAAGGGAGGTAGTTACTCTTCTGACCCATGTTATCAATCATTTCTTGGAAGCATTTATTTAGCAGTAA